GGTTGGTCTCGCGCTGGACCGGGGGCCGACGCGCAGACGACAGCGCAGATGTGTTGCGGGAGTCGGCGAGATGCTTAAGGATTTTGAGGCTTTCGAGGCGGCGCAAATTGTTGCGCGTTTTCTGTATTTTCTTTGACAATTGTTTCCGTCTCTCCCTGCTTGTGCATATTTTGCGACCAGTGAGGAGGGCAGGCCCAGGCTCGCACGGACAACGACAGCGCAGTTGCCGTCGCACGGTGAGCACGCCACGCGGGACGCACGCACGTGGCACGACTCACAGGACAACGAGGGAAAGACCCGGAGTGGGGGCCCAGGCTCGAAGAGGACATGGGGGCGGGAATGACGGCCAGGAGAACGAGGCGAGTAGGGCCGAGCAGTCAGCGCGGCAACAGCAGAGAGGAGTTGGCAGGAAGAAGAGGGGGACGATGAGAGAAGCGACGCTTGTTTCCCATAAGTTCCTTGGACACGCAACGCTGCCCGCGCCATGGCGCCGCGGCGCGCCATAGGCAAGGGGCGAGCAGCGCGGGAGCTGAGCGCTCGCAAGCGCGCCGCAAGGTCCGCGGGCGGCCCGCGGGGCGGGAAATTCAGGCCGGGGTCGCGCATCATCGGCAGGTTGTCCACGGTCGTCGCCTTGGGCAGCATTGCGGAAAGATGCAGCCATTGGTCGTCATTTTGTTTTTCATATTTTGCGCCCGGCGTCGGCAATTATTCCGCGAAGCATGGCGCGGCCTTCGCGGCCCGCGGGCGCCGAGGCTTCGGTGTGAGAGATGGCCGGGCCGTTGCGCGTGACCTCATGGTTGTGGAAGTCGAACAGGCTTGATTTCTGCGGTTCGATGTGGACGAATCGCGCCGCGTCCGCGGCGTCGATGCCACGATCGAACTCCATTAGCTTCTCGCCGCAGAGGCCGGCCTTGCATGTCCATGCGCACGGGCCCCGTGCGGCAGGGGCCGAAGGCGCGTTTGACGATGCTCGGCCTTCGCTGCCATCACCTCGTCCTCATCATTCGGGGTGGCGGCCGCGTGGACGACCTCGCCCTCGGCGTCCTTGACGAGCCCTCCAGTTTGGTCCAGGTTCTCGGCGCCCTTGACGAGCCCTCCGGCATGGCCCATGTGATCCAGCGGACGTAAACGCGTGCCCGCGTGCAAGGCAGCATCTCACGCATGCCGCCCGCATCTCCCGGGTTGACGCAGTTGGCCTTCTCCGCGGCCATGTCAACGGGCAGCGGGGGCGAGGGCTGGTCAGTTGCGTGGGCGTGGTAGAGCACGCGCCCAAGAGGCGCAGCGCTCTTCCTCGCGCGCATTAGCGTCCACCGAGCTGCGGCGCGCTAGCACCAGGCGATCACGCGTCCCGTCTGGAACCGTTTTTACCCCAGCTGCCTGTCGTTGCGCTTCATCCGGATGCGGTTCCGGGTCTCTGGTATCTATTGAGGGGCCATGACTTTCTTCGCCTTGCGCATGAAGTTCACGAAATGTGCGAGGTCGGGGTCCTTGAAGCGGTGGGTGGCCTGAGCTCGCAGCACGGGGCAGTGCCGCATGGCCCTTTGGCGCGCCGCGGGCGGCCCCTCCTTCCGACTGTCGGCGGCCGCCAACGTCTACAGGCTGAACAGCGCTGAGATGTCGGGGTTGGTGGGCTTCAGCTGCAGGAGTCCTGCAGCATGTCCCCGAGGTAGATCGCGATGGGGACGTGGCCGAATGCGCAGGAGTGTTCCAGCTTGTTCGCTTCGTGCAGGTTGCAGTTATGGCGCCTGGCGTGGAAAGCGCGGTAGGTCAGCATCCTGAGCAGGCTCGGAGAATCCACGCTGCCCTCGTCGATGACGAACAGCCGCAGCTCCGACCGGATCTCCTCCAGCCGTTTCCGGACATCGGCCGCGGGCAGCATGGTGAGGTTGCGGTGTTGCCCTCCGATGTCCATCTGCGCCGCTTTGCGGCGCGTGGTCGCCTTGCGGTGTTCGGTGGAGATGTTCTCAGCCTGGGGCCACTTGGCGCAGACGATCCTCGTGGCTCTCTGCCCGAAGAGGAAGTTCTTGGTGGGCAGCGCTGTCTGCTGGTAGGTTGTCGTCTTGCCGGAGCCGCCCTGTCCCATATGCAGAACTTGGAAGGTGCGCCGTCGCTCTCACGGGTTCTCTACTTTCTCGTCGTCCCACACGGCGTTGCAGTTCCGCGCGGATTTCGACAGGAACGGCGTCTGATCCCGCTTCAGCGCGCATAGAAGTGCGGTCGGGTCGACAGGCCTCTCCTAGGACTTTCGCGCGAGATGCGCCACTCAGTTGTTCGGGCGGCGCCAGGCGTCAGCGGGCGCGGGGTGTGTATTCGGTTGTGGGCCGCGCCGCGGAGGCTGCTTGCTTGAGTGCTATGCGTGCGGGTTCAAAGGACGACCGCTGTCCTCGATCGCGGGGGTTGCGGGGCAGTCCTGGTCCGACAGCTCCGTCTCGCCGCTGTTGGATGTCCAGGACTTCCTTTGGGCGCTCACCAGCCCCTTCAACGCGGCTGGTTCCAGGTGCGCTAGCGTCTCGTAGCTTCGCATGATCTCCTCTTGCACGTGGGTCGCGCGCCGCTCAGCGCCGTCCTCGCGTCTCCGAGGCGCGGGCATGCCGCCGTCGTCCGATTTCAGTACGGACATGGCTATCAGTGCATCCACGAATCTGCGGGTCCGGTCCGCAGCTTCGAAGCGGAGGATCTTGCGCAGCAGTTGAGATTCGAAATGGTGGACAATGGCCGTGTCCGGGCCCAGGGTGGCGAGGCCGGCCGCGGTCCGAAGGGCGGCCGCCTCGATTTGTTTGTCCGCTTCGCTGTCGTCCTCTCCTCCATGGTGTTCAATGAGCTCGGGGACAGCCGCGTCGTCGTCGGCCTCCCTTTTCTGCTGGGGTTCCGTGCGCGTCTGGGCGATGCGCGCGAAGTTGACCGATGTCTCCGTCGTAACGAAAGGTGAACCGACCTGGCACATTAAGTCCGAGAAATTGTAAGAGTGGTGCCTTTCCGAACAAACAATGGCCCTGACAACGACAACTGCTCTGCATGAGCGGGAGCCGTGGCAACGTCTGACAGACAATTGCGCCTTTGATGGGTTCAGATCAGCGCCGTCTGCCAGAAGGGCAGCAACGCCCCCATCATGGGTTCAGATTAGCGCGGTCTTGGAGTGTTGCACCGGTTGCGCGCGAGGCTGCCATCTTTTCAACACGCCGATGCTCCGAATACGGGGCGATGTTAGGGGAGCATCGGCTGAGGGGGGGATAGATCGACCCCCGATGGCCCACTCATCGCCGATATGGGCCCGATGCACCACCCTGCCCAGGAATGTGCCATTTCGCTTTTCGGGGGGCTGTCGCCGATCTGTCGGCGATGTATTGCCGATTACAGCTCGATGTTTTCCTCCTTGAGCCAGCCTCCCTGCTCGTTTTCCCCCGTCGAGCCATCGCCAGGAGTTTGGCCTTAGCCTCTGGACGAGGAAGCTCTGAATCAGGTGGGATCGGAAAGGTACGGCTGCAGAAAAAAACGGTTACTTTGCGCGGTTTGGGCACGCTCTTCAGTTCACGACGCCAACGGAGTTGAATCACAGTGGCTGTGCACGTGAATGGTGGCCACCCGTCAGCCGCGATCTCCGGCTACAATGTGCGCCGGGGCCTGCCTATACACGCGCGCGAAGGAAGTCGTTGCCGCGTCCTGCTAGCCCGAGGACTCTGCATCATTTCTCCGACGCCCGTTGCATTGACGTCCGAACTATGTTTGATATAGGTGCGCCCTGTAGGCCCGCGGGCCCGCGTGCAGAACGTCCCGCTCGTCTTTTTGCACGCGCGAGCACGCCAGGTGTAGCGGCGTCGTTGCTCCAGGACGTCAGTAGCGGGCCAGAGCAGGCCAACGTGTATGTGTTTGTGTGTGTGCGTGTGTGTGTGTGTGTATGTGTGTGTGTGTGCGTGTGTGCGCGTGTGTGTTCCATCCCGCTGGGCGTCAGTGTTGCCATGTGTTCCTTTCGCGTCTGGCCCTCCCTCCTTCTCGGACGGCCCGACCTATACAGCCTTGTCAAAGAGTTCCGAGTTCTCGTGCCAGCCTATGTCCCTTGAGGAGTTGTTCGGCTGAGGGCGTGGGGGGCATCTGAGGGCACCCGCGGCGGCTCGAAGATGCGCCCGACGAGGTCAAATCATGGGAATCCTTGTCGCTTGCACAGGCTCGCCCAGAGCGGCGCTCGCAGCTCGCACAATAGACAGGGAGTCAGAAGTCCGCCTTTGGCGGTTTTGAATGGCACGTCCGCGTCGATTACGGTATACAAAAAAAGTCTGTCTCAAGAATGAGCTCTTTGATGAAAGGGGCCTCTTAAGCCCCCGGCTCTGCGTCATCGGCCCGAAGGTGTACCGTGGACCTCGCACATTCGAAGCGTCTTGCGCCCTTGCATTGTGATGCAACCCTGGGGGGGTTATTCAGCATCGGCGCTTGCATACCCGCGGTCGAAAACAGGCCGAGTCTGGCAGACTCCCTGTTTAATCCGACTTCGTCCCACTCAATCTGCTTAGGTCCCGGGTTTACGGTCGGAAATTGATGGATAGCGTGTCGCCGCGGCGACCCCGGCGACACGTGATGCCCCGCGAGCGGATAGCGTGTCGCTCCGCTCCGCGGGGGGCGGGGGGCTGGGAAAAGCTCGGGACGTGGACGCTTTGGGACCCGGAAGTGGGTAGCGTGCCGCGCCGCAGCGTGGTGGGACAGAGCCAGCGCAGCGAGACGCTGCCCCGAGGTCCCCGACGGGCTTATATTCGGCCCGAGGGCCCCTTCGTGGGGCTTCATCGCCCGGGATCCGTTCTTGCGAAGGCCTCCCGGGAGTCGCCGCCTGGGCGCCTTCTCAGCGCCTCGCGCCCTGGCGCTCGGTGCTTCTGTAGGGGGCCACATGCGAACCCTACCCCTGCCCCCCCCTATTCTGGCTGCAAGGCCTCGGCTGCCGACGAGCTCGCCCGGCCCGCCGCGGCGCCCCCCGCGCGCGAGCCGCTCGCCGGGAGAGCGGCGCGCGCGCCCAGGGCGGCGGGGCCGCAGAGGCGAGGGGCTCCCAGGAGGGGTGAGAGGCCGCCGGCGGCGGACGGCCGATCGCCGCCGCCGCCGAGGGCCTGCGCCGACACACGGCTCGCCTCCTCGGCGGCGGCAACATCTCGGGTGTTGCTAAAGAGGGCCCCTGGCCCAAGGTGCTCCCAGGATTTCCAAGGAGGAGGAGGGTGAGGAGGAGGAGGAGGAGGAGGAGGAGGAGGAGGAGGAGGAGGAGGAGGAGGGTGAGGAGGAGGAGGAGGAGGAGGAGGAGGAGGAGGAGGAGGAGGAGGAGGAGGAGGAGGAGGTGGGGAGGAGAGGAGGAGGAGGAGGAGGAGGAGGGGAGGAGGACGAGGAGCAGGAGGAGGAGGAGGAGGAGGAGGAGGAGGAGGAGGAGGAGGAGGAGGAGCACCCCTCACGAGGCTGAGCGAAAAGCTGGCGGCACCTCGGGCCAGGGGCACCTTTAGCAACCCTCGGCAGCAGGGGTGGATAGCTCTAGGCCTCCCAGAAAGCGTCAGAGCAGATGGGTTCGCAGGATGGCGCCGCATCCGTGATGCCTCGGCGATGCGGCTCGATGCGGAGCCAGATTTTCTCCATGCCGACGGCGCCGATGCATCGCCGACGTCTCCGATGCAGTGACGATGTATCGGCGATGCATCGAGGATGCAGCGCGATCCTCCGACCCAATCTACTCGGACATCAGTCGGTAGGCCTCTAATGATCAACCCCGGCATCCTCGCGTCGAGTGACACTCGCGACGGGCGGTTCTCGGGAGTCTTTGGCTTCAGGGGGACTTTGCTAGGCCCAGGGGCCGCCGAAGAACGAGCCAGGAGGAAGACACAGTCCGCGGAAAAGCGTCCGGGCCTTTGAGGAGCCACGCTTTGAAAAAAAACACGACGCCGGATGTCTTGGAAGGGGTGGGCATAACACGCATTCTGTGGGACGCCTCGTCGGAGACATGGGCGGTCGGATCCCCTGGAAGCGTGCAGTGCTCCGCCTGGGCGATCCGCCCCTGGTGCAGCCGCCAGCCTTCGGAGGACGGGGGGAGCTGGGGGCTCGAAGCTGGCGAGAACACACACGCGTCAGGCCCCTGTGCAACACCACTGTGCCTGGCCGGGGCCATGTCCCGGGCCATCGCGTAGTGTGTACTCCCTCTTGGGCGACAGCAGGAGAGTCCACACACACACACACACACACACACACACACACACACACACACACACACACACACACGCACACACGCACACACGCACACACGCACACACGCACACACACACACACACACACACACCCCTGTCTAGGACTCGGGACGAGCCTCTTTGGCCGCCCCCCAGAGCTTCCAAGACCGCCAGAAAGAGGCCCCCCCAGAGAGCCCTAAGATGGGCCCTCGGGGCCACCGTGGGTTCCTACGCCTCTTCGAACGCTCCTGGTAATTACGGCTCAGGGGGGGGGACGTTGGAGTCGGTTTGGGCTGGTTCGACTTGCCGGAGGGCCACGAGCCAAAACGCCGCTGGCACCGCACAAGAATTTCTGCAAATTGGTGGTCTGGACCTCAAAGAAAACGCTATGAAAGGAACGGGTCGTGAGAGAAACATGTGCTGAAGTTTTTCCAGACTTTTGGCTCTCAGGGCCTTTCCCAGGCTTCGAGACTGCCAACGAAAGATTCAAGATGAGAAGCCGGTCCTGGGGAAAGCCCCCGGGGTCCAGGACCCGTTCCCCTCGGGATCCGTTTCTTTCATGCCAAAGAGTCTTAGAACCTCTCTCACCCTCACATCTGTACGAGCCTCAGGGCACTCCAATACTTGCTGAAGGCACGGTGGCGGATCTCTGTTTTTCGGGACAGACTAGTTCCGTCGAGAGCTCGCGTGACCGCTGGGGGGCCAGCCGCCTGCATGTCTAGGTCGGGGAATGGGGTGGCCCTGCTGGGAATTCGACTGCCGTTTCATCGTGGTCAGGAAGCGTGAAACGGTGTTCGCAGACGCCCCCTCGAACAGTGGACATTCTTCTTGGTAGGTCCGCGAGCGTGAGATGGTCGACAAACTATGCACACGGTGTTCGGGGCGAAGGTGCACTGACATTTGTGCATACATGCGCAGCCCCCATTTAGGATGTTGCAGCAGACGGTCTTGGAGGTCTCGAGCGGGGCGCTGTCTCTGATGAAAATGATGAGGAGGAGTAGGAGGAGGAGGAGGAGGAAGAGGAGGAAGAGGAGGAAGCCGTCGCTGTGTATTTAGGCGGGCCTCGAAATGGGGGGAGTGGGCACATCAGGTCAACACAGAACCTTTTTCGCAACACTACCGCGCTGTAGGCTGGCTCGCCGAGTTCTCCCTTGTGCCTGTTGTCGCCGCCTCCGCGCTCAAGCTCCGCGAATGAGCGGTCCTTGCAGCCCGAGGCAGTGCCCCCGCGTTGACAGTGCGCTGCGGCCTGGCGGGGAAAATCGCACCATCTGCGCTGCTCGAGTTTCGCAACCTCAGACATTCGACGATCTTATGCTTGCAATGTGCTGCCCGGGCCTCGATCCCTTCCCGGGGAACAGTTTCTCTTCCTGTATCCATGTTGTACGCCCCAGGGCCCGAAACCAGCCCCAGGGCCCACAAGACGCATTTTTGTTCAGATTCTGGCAAATTCATTTGCATGTCATCCCCCCTCTCACCCAGCCCTCCGCCATTTGCCCCCTCCCATGCGCTGGGCCGAAAAGGCGTACAAGTGAGTCCCGACTGACGTGATCAAGGTTTCCTGCCGGGCCTCGCCACGCCCCCCTCCATGCAAGTAAAATTGCCCGAATCGCGAGAACAATTCTCGAAGACGCCTGCGGTGAATCACCGCCGCCCCCTGCCTTTCATTAGATCATTTCTATGTGGTCAAACGTTAGGGCAAAGTTAGGCCACGCTATTGGACCATGCGTTCCCTCAGCCGTTGTGGAAGCCCTTCGGGGGGCACGGGGGGTGGAAGAGGAAGACGAGGAGCGGGAGGAACAAGGAGAATGATGAGAAGAATGAGGAGACCGATCGGGAGATTCAGGAGTCAGTCTTGCGGCCTCCTGGGAGCTGCTAATGGGCGTCTTGGAGGCCTCTTGGGGGCCTCCTCGAAGGCATCTCGGGGGCCTTTTTGGCAGTCTTACGGCGGTCCTGGCCCGTCTCGTCTTGGGGCCCTCTTGGGGCGCTTCAGGATCGTCTTGAAGGCCATCTTGGGCGTCTTGGAGGCCTCTTGGGCCGTCTTGGGCCCTTGGGGGCCGTCTTGGAAGACTCGTGGGCCGTCCTGGGGCCATCTTGGAGGCCTCTTGGGACAATGATTGGGGCCTCTTAGGCCGTCGGAAGAAAGTTTTTGAAGCACATGGTAAGTTTCTTTGAACACCTACGAACCATACATTGAGTTTTGCCTCCTCGGGCCTTCCTGGAGGACCTTTTGGAGTCCTCTTGGGCCGCCTTAGGCGCTTATTGGGCCGTCTTGAGCTCTCTTGGACCATCTTGGCGGTCTTTGAGGCATCTTGGGACCGCAACTCGGCCCGTCTTGAAGACATCGTGGGGCCATCTTGGGCTGTATGTATTGGAGAGCATCTTGGCCATATTGGGGCCGTCTAGAGCGGGAAGGCCGACGACATGGGAACTTACGGGTCCTCGTGTAGGCATTTTGTTGGGATTTTGATGTCTTAACGCGTCATTCCGCGTCCTTCTGGATGGCCGGCGGATTTGGCCAAATGCTTTGGGGAAGTTCTGATTGGCACGCCGTGCACGCCTGTCAAAGGCAACGATAGGGGGGAATATGCTCAGGAGAGGACGCGTCGACCTCCCACCGCCCACTCATCGCCGCCAGGGGCCCGAGAGCCCTTCCCTGTCCAGGAACGTGCGGATTCGCCGTCGGGGGCCTGTCGCCGATCTAACGCCGACGTATCGCCGATTCCAGGTCGACGTGCCCCCCTCAGTTCAGGAGAGGAAAAACACACAGACACAGTTAATCTTCGATTCCTCAGAAAATATCGGAAAATATGGGAAGTGGGGGGGAGACAAAAACCCAGAAAATATTTGAAAATATTGGGAATCTTTTTATTTGTGTGTATTTATTTGTGTGTCCTGGGGCCCCTTCATCAGTGCCCTCACCCTGTGGCACGACCACATGGGGGGCGCGAACTCGCACCAGCCTTCCGGCCGTGGGCCCAGCCCGCCGCCTGCCCCGAGTTGTGGGTCGGAGGTGGCCTCGGGGATGCCTGCGGGGATCACTCGGGAGGCTTCCCGGAGGCCCCGTGAAGGCGGTTTTGGGGGGCCTCTCGGGGGCCTCTCGGGGGCGCCTCGGGGGCCTTTTGGGGCCTGATTTGGGCTTCTCGGGGGGCCTCGTGGATCTGGGGGGCTCTTGGGGGGCCTGCTGGTGCTCCCGAAGTGCTTGGATTCCCTTTGTTCGGGGCCGCATTTGCTAAATCCTGTGCGTTCCTTGGCAGTTCCTTGAATTCTTCGCCTAGGCGGGCATTTGTCTAAGAAGATAGTGTTTTTCCTTCGTTTGCCCTTCGCTGATTCTGACTTCCAGAAGTCTGACCGCCATTAGCAGGCGAATGGGAGCCACGATGCCCCGAGTGTCCGCCCGCACAGGCGCCCGGAAAGGCTGCGCGGACACAGACAACGGCGCCACCAACCGCGACTACGGGGTCGGTTGTGAGGGCTACACAGATCTCGAGTCGTATTACTGCGGCGGGGGGGCGGGGGTCGTCGCGGGCGAAGAATACGTACACGTCGGTCGTTGAAAGTAGGTATTTTTGGATTCCCAGATCCCAATCTACTTTGAGCGCCTTCCTACTTCAAGAATTTATATTTTTAGTTTTTTTGGGGGGCGGGCGCAAATCTAATCTACTTCTTTGGTTGTTTTGGTTGTGTTTCGATGTTGTTGTTGTTGATTGTCTTTGGTTGGTTTTCGTTGGTGTTTATGTTGTTTTGTTTTAAAAGGAGTGTTGTTGGTTGTTGGTTGTTCGTTTTTTTCGTTGTCCCTTCGGCCTGGTTTTGGTTGTTTTCGGTTGTCTGTCGGTTGTTCTGGTCGCTCCTGGGCACTGGGCTGGCTCTCGGTCGCTCGGCCCCTTGGGGTTCCCCTTCCTTGTCTGGTGTTGGTTGTTTTTCGGGCGTCTGTCAGTTGTTTCGGTCGCTCCTGGCCCCTGGGCTTGCTCTCGGTCGCTCGGCCCCTGGGGTGCCCCTTCCCTGTCTGGTTTTGGTTGTTCTCGGTTTTCTGTCGGTTGTTCTGGTCGTCCCTCGCTCCTGGGCTGGCTCTCGGTCGCTCGGCCCCTGGGGCGCCCCTTCCCTGTCTGGTTTTGGTTGTTTTCGGTTGTCTGTCGGTTGTTTCGGTCGCTCCTGGCCCTTGGGCTGGCTCTCGGTCGCTCGGCCCTTGGGGGGCCCCTTCCCTGTCTGGCGGTTGTCCGTCGGGTTTTCTGGTCGCCCGTGGCCCTTGGGCTGGCTCTCGGTCGCTCGGCCCCTGGGGCGCCCCTTCCCTGTCTGGTTTTGGTTGTTTTCGGTTGCCTGTCGGTTGTTCTGGTCGTACCTGGCCCCTGGGCTGGCTCTCGGTCGCTCGGCCCCTGGGGGCGCCCCTTCCTTGTTTGGTTGTGGTTGTTTTCGGTTGTCTGTCGGTTGTTCTGGTCGTCCCTGAGTCCTGGGCTGGCTCTCGGCCGCTCGGCCCCTTGGGTTGCCCCTTCCTTGTCTGGTGTTGGTTGTTTTCGGTTGTCTGTCGGTTGTTTCGGTCGCTCCTGGACCCTGGGCTGGCTCTCGGTCGCTCGGCCTTTGGGGTGCCCCTTCCGTGTTTGGTTTTTGTTGTTTTCGGTTGGCCGTCGGTTGTTCTGGTCGTCCCTGGCTGCTGGGCTGGCTCTCGGTCGCTCGGCCCCTGGGGCGCCCCGTCCCTGTTTGGTTTTGGCTGTGTTCGGTTCTCCGTCGGTTGTTCTGGTCGCTGCTGGCCCCTGGGCTGGCTCTCGGTCGTTTGGCCCCTTGGGGTGCCCCTTCCCTGTCTGTTTTTTGTTGTTTTCGGTTGTCTGTCGGTTGTTTCGGTCGCCCGTGGCCCCTGGGCTGGCTCTCGGTCGCTCGGCCCCTGGGGGTGCCCCTTCCTTGTCTGGTGTTGGTTGTTTTCGATTGTCTGTCGGTTGTTCTGGTCGTCCCTGGCTCCTGGGCTGACTCTCGGTCGCTCGGCCCCTGGGGTGCCCCTTCCTTGTTTTGTTTTGGTTGTTTTCAGTTGTCTGTCAGTTGTTTCTGTCGCTCCTGGCCCCTGGGCTGGCTCTCGGTCGCTCGGCCCTTGGAGGGCCCCTTCCATGTTTGGATTTGGTTGTTTTCGGTTGTCCGTCGGGTTTTCTGGTCGCCCGTGGCCCTTGGGCTGGCTCTCGGTCGCTCGGCCCCTGGGGCGCCCCTTCCCTGTCTGGTTTTGGTTGTTTTCGGTTGCCTGTCGGTTGTTTCGGTCGCTCCGGGCCCTTGGGCTGGCTCTCGGCCGCTCGGCCTCTGGGGGTGCCCCTTCCTTGTCTGGTGTTGGTTGTTTTCGGTTGTCCGTCGGTTGTTCTGGTCGCTCCTGGCCCCTGGGTTGGCTCTCGGTCGCTCGGCCCCTTGTGGTGCCCCTTCCCTGTCTGGTTTTGGTTGTTTTCGGTTGTTTGTCGGTTGTTCTGGTCGGCCCTGGCTCCTGGGTTGGCTCTCGGTCGCTCGGCCCCTGGGGCGCCCCTTCCCTGTCTGGTTTTGGTTGTTTTCGGTTGACCGTCGGTTGATCTGGTCGCTCCTGGCCCTTGGGCTGGCTCTCGGTCGCTCGGCCCCTGGGGGTGCCCCTTCCTTGTTTGGTTTTGGTTGTTTTCGGTTGTCTGTCGGTTGTTTCGGTCGCCCGTGGCCCCTGGGCTGGCCCTCAGTCGCTCGGCCCCTGGGGTGCCCCTTCCCTATCTGGTTTTGGTTGTTTTCGGTTGTCTGTCGGTTGTTTCGGTCGCTCCTGGCCCCTGGGCTGGCTCTCGGTCGCTCGGCCCTTGGGGTGTCCCTTCCGTGTTTGGTTTTGGTTGTTTTCGGTTGGCCGTCGGTTGTTCTGGTCGTCCCTGGCTCCTGGGCTGGCTCTCGGTCGCTGAGCCCCTGGGGCGCCCCGTCCCTGTTTGGTTTTGGCTGTTTTCGGTTCTCCGTCGGTTGTTCTGGTCGCTGCTGGCCCCTGGGCTGGCTCTCGGTCGTTCGGCCCCTGGGGTTGCCCCTTCCTTGTCTGGTTTTTGTTGTTTTCGGTTATCTGTCGGTTGTTTCGGTCGCCCGTGGCCCCTGGGCTGGCTCTCGGTCGCTCGGCCCCTGGGGTGCCCCTTCCCTGTCTGGTTGTGGTTGTTTTCGGTTGTCTGTCGGTTGTTCTGGTCGCTGCTAGCCCCTGGGCTGGCTCTCGGTCGCTCGGCCCATGGTGCCCCTTCCTTGTCTGGTTTTGGTTGTTTTCGGTTGTCTGTCGGTTGTTCTGGTCGTCCCTGGCTCCTGGGCTGGCTCTCGGTCGCTCGGCCCCTGGGGCGCCCCTTCCCTGGCTCTCGGTCGCTCGGCCCCTGGGGGTGTTCTCTGTCTGGTTTTGGTTGTTTTCGGTTGTCTGTCGGTTCTTCTGGTCGTCCTTGGCTCCTGGGCCGGCTCTCGGTCGCTCGGCCCCTGTGGCGCTCTTCCCTTGTGTGGTTTTGGTTGTTTTTGGTTGTCCGTCGGTTGTTCTGGTCGTCCCTGAGTCCTGGGCTGGCTCTCGGCCGCTCGGCCCCTGGGGGTGCCCCTTCCTTGTCTGGTGTTGGTTGTTTTCGGTTGTCTGTCGGTTGTTTCGGTCGCTGCTGGCCCCTGGGCTGGCTCTCGGTCGCTCGGCCCCTGGGGTGCGCCTTCCTTGTCTGGTTTTGGTTGTTTTCGGTTGTCTGTCGGTTGTTCTGGTCGCCCGTGGCTCCTGGGCTGGCTCTCGGTCGCTCGGCCCCTGGGGTGTCCCTTCCCTGTCTGGTTTTGGTTGTTTTCGGTTGTCTGTCGGTTGTTCTGGTCGCTCCTGGCCCCTGGGCTGGCTCTCGGTCGCTCGGCCCCCGGGGGTGCCTTTTCCTTGTCTGGTTGTGGTTGTTTTCGGTTGTCCGTCGGTTGTTTCGGTCGCTGCTGGCCCCTGGGCTGGCCTCGGTCGCTCGGCCCCTGGGGTGTCCCTTCTCTGTCCAGTTGTGGTTGTTTTCGGTTGTCTGTCGGTTGTTCTGGTCGTCCCTCGCTCCTGGGCTGGCTCTCGGTCGCTCGGCCCCTGGGGGTGCCCCTTCCCTGTCTGGTTTTGGTTGTTTTCGGTTGTCTGTCGGTTGTTTGGTCGCTCCTGGCCCTGGGCTGGCTCTCGGTCGCTCGGCCCTTGGGGGGCCCCTTCCCTGTGTGGATTTGGTTGTTTTCGGTTTCCGTCGGTTGTTCTGGTCGCCCGTGGCCCCTGGGCTTGCTCTCGGTCGCTCGGCCCCTGGGGTGCCCCTTCCCTGTCTGGTTTTGGTTGTTTTCGGTTGTCTGTCGGTTGTTCTGGTCGTACCTGGCCCCTGGGCTGGCTCTCGGTCGCTCGGCCCCTGGGGGCGCCCCTTCCTTGTGTGGTTTTGGTTGTTTTCGGTTGTCCGTCGGTTGTTCTGGTCGTCCCTGAGTCCTGGGCTGGCTCTCGGCCGCTCGGCCCCTGGGGGTGCCCCTTCCTTGTCTGGTGTTGGTTGGTTTCGGTTGTCTGTCGGCTGTTTCGGTCGTCCCTGGCTCTCCCCTGGCTCGTCCCCTGTTTCGGTTCTTCTGGTCGTCCCTGGCTCCTGGGCTGGCTCTCGGTCGCTCGGCCCTTGGGGTCCCTGAGTCCTGGGCTGGCTCTCGGCCGCTCGGCCCCTGGGGTGTTGGTTGTTTTCGGTTGTCTGTCGGTTGTTTTGGTCGCCCGTGGCCCCTGGGTTGGCTCTCGGTCGCTCGGCCCCTGGGGCACGCCAGGGGCCGCACGCCGAGAGCCAGCCCAGGAGCCAGGGACGACCAGAACAACCGACAGACAAGGAAAAAGCACCCCCAGGGGCCAGCCCAGGGGCCAGGAGCGACCAGAACAACAGACAGACAACCGAAAACAACCAAAACCAGACAGGGAAGGGGCACCCCAGCGGCCGAGCGACCGAGAGCCAGCCCAGGGGCCATGAGCGACCGAAACAACCGACAGACAACCGAAAACAACCACAACCAGACAGGGAAGGGGCACCCCCAGGGGCCGAAGGACCAAGAGACAACCCAGGGGCCAGGAGCGACCAGAACAACCGACGGACTACCAAAAACAACCAAAACCACACAGGGAAAGGGCGCCCCAAGGGCCGAGCGACCGAGAGCCAGCCCAGGAGCCAGGGACGACCAGAAGAACCGAAACAGGGGACGAGCCAGGGGAGAGCCAGGGACGACCGAAACAACCGACAGACAACCGAAAACAACCAACACCAGACAAGGAAGGGGCACCCCCAGGGGCCGAGCGGCCGAGAGCCAGCCCAGGAGTCAGGGACGACCAGAACAACCGACAGACAACCAAAAACAACCAAAACCAGACAAGGAAGGGGCGCCCCCAGGGGCCGAGGGACCGAGAGCCAGCCCAGGAGCCAGGTACGACCAGAACAACCGACAGGCAACCGAAAACAACCAAAACCAGACAGGGAAGGGGCACCCCAGGGGCCGAGCGACCGAGAGCAAGCCCAGGGGCCACGGGCGACCAGAACAGCCGACGGAAACAGAAAACAACCAAATCCAGACAGGAAGGGGCCCCCCAGGGGCCGAGCGACCGAGAGCCAGCCCCGGAGCGAGGGACGACCAGAACAACCGACAGACAACCGAAAACAACCAACACCAGACAGAGAAGGGGCACCCCAGGGGCCGAGCGACCGAGAGCCAGCCCAGGGGCCACGGGCGACCGAAACAACCGACGTACAACCGAAAACAACCAAAACCAAACAAGGAAGGGGCACCCCCAGGGGCCGAGCGACCGAGAGCCAACCCAGGGGCCAGGAGCGACCAGAACAACCGACGGACAACCGAAAACAACCAAAACCAGACAGGGAAGGGGCGCCCCAGGGGCCGAGCGACCGAGAGCCAGCCCAGGAGCCAGGGACGACCAGAACAATCGACAGACAACCGAAAACAACCAAAACCAGACAAGGAAGGGGCACCATGGGCCGAGCGACCGAGAGCCAGACAGCCCAGGGGCCAGCAGCGACCAGAACAACCGACAGACAACCGAAAACAACCCAAACCAGATGGGGAAGGGGCACCCCAGGGGCCGAGCGACCGAGAGCCCGCCCAGGGGTCACGGGGGACCGAAACAACCGACAGACAACCGAAAACAACCAAAACCAAACAAGGAAGGGGCACCCCCAGGGGCCGAACGACCGAGAGCCAGCCCAGGGGCCAAGTACGACCAGCACAACCGACAGACAACCGAAAACAACCAAAACCAGACAGGGAAGGGGCACCCCAGGGGCCGAGCAACCGAGAGCCAGCCCAGGGGCCACGGGCGACCGAAACAACCGACGGACAACCGAAAACAACCAAAACCAAACAAGGAAGGGGCAACCCCAGGGGCCGAACGACCGAGAGCCAGCCCAGGGGCCAGCAGCGACCAGAACAACCGACGGAGAACCGAAAACAGCCAAAACCAAACAGGGACGGGGCGCCCCAGGGGCCGAGCGACCGAGAGCCAGCCCAGGAGCCAGGGACGACCAGAACAACCGACGGTCAACCGAAAACAACAAAAACCAAACACGGAAGGGACACCCCAAGGGCCGAGCGACCGAGAGCCAGCCCAGGGGCCAGGAGCGACCGAAACAACCGACAGACAACCGAAAACAACCAACACCAGACAAGGAAGGGGCACCCCCAGGGGCCGAGCGACCGAGAGCCAGCCCAGGAGCCAGGAACGACCAGAACAACCCACGGACAACCGAAAACAACCAAACCAGACAAGGAAGGGGCACCCCAAGGGGCCGAGCGACCGACAACCAGACACCACAACCAGACAAGGAAGGGGCGCCCCCAGGGGCCGAGCGACCGAGAGCCAGCCCAGGGGCCAGGAGCGACCAGAACAACCGACAGACAACCGAAAACAACCAAAACCAGACAAGGAAGGGGCACCCCCAGGGGCCGAGCGACAGAGAGCCAGCCCAGGGGCCAGGAGCGACCGGAACAACCGACAGACAACCGAAAACAACCAAAACCAGACAGGGAAGGGGCACCCCAGGGGCCGAGCGACCGAGAGCCAATAGACCGACCAACCGAAAGACAACAAGGAACCAAACCCAAGAGGGAGGAAGGGGCACCCCCAGGGGCCGAGCGACCGAGAGCCAGCCCAGGGCCAGCGACCAGAACAACCGACAGACAACCGAAAACAACCAAAACCAGACAGGGAAGGGGCACCCCAGGGGCCGAGCGACCGAGAGCCAACCCAGGGCCAGGAGCGACCAGAACAACCGACGGACAACCGAAAACAACCAAAACCAAACAAGGAAGGGGCACCCCCAGGGGCCGAGCGACCGAGAGCCAGCCCAGGGGCCAGGAGCGACCAGAACAACCGACGGACAACCGAAAACAACCAAAACCAGATAGGGAAGGGGCGCCCCAGGGGCCGAGCGACCGAGAGCCAGCCCAGGAGCGAGGGACGACCAGAACAACCGACAGACAACCGAAAACAACCAAAACCAAACAGGGAAGGGGCCCCCCAGGGGCCGAGCGACCGAGAGCCAGCCCAGGGGCCAGGAGCGACCGAAACGACCGACAGACAACCGAAAACAACCAAAACACCAGAAGGGGCAAGGGGCGACCCCAGGGGCCGAGCGACCGAGCGACCGCCAACCCAGGGGCCAGGAGCGACAGAACAACCGACAGACAACCGAAAACAACCAACACCAGACAAGGAAGGGGCGCCCCAGGGGCCGAGCGGCCGAGAGCCAGCCCAGGAGCCAGGGACGACCAGAACAACCGACAGACAATCGAAAACAACCAACACCAGACAGGGAAGGGGCACCCCCAGGGGCCGAGCGACCGAGAGCCAGCCCAGGGGCCACGGGTGACCGAAACAACCGACAGACAACCGAAAACAACAAAAAAACAGACAGGCAAGGGGCACCCCAAGGGGCCGAACGACCGAGAGCCAGCCCAGGGGCCAGCAGCGACCAGAACAACCGACGGAGAACCGAAAACAGCCCAAACCAAACAGGGACGGGGCGCCCCAGGGGCCGAGCGACCGAGAGCCAGCCCAGGAGCCAGGGACGACCAGAACAACCGGCAGACAACCGAAAACAACAAAAACCAAACACGGAAGGGACACCCCAAGGGCCGAGCGACCGAGAGCCAGCCCAGGGGCCAGCAGCGACCGAAACAACCGACAGACAACAACCGAAAACAACCAACACCAGACAAGGAAGGGGCACCCCCGGGGGCCGAGCGACCGAGAGCCAGCCCAGGACTCAGGGACGACCAGAACAACCGACGGACAACCGAAAACAACCACAACCAAACAAGGAAGGGGCGCCCCCAGTGGCCGAGCGACCGAGAGCCAGCCCAGGGGCCAGGGACGACCAGAACAACCGACAGACAACCGAAAACAACCAAAACCAGACAGGGACGGGGCGCCCCAGGGGCCGAGCGACCGAGAGCCAGCCCAAGGGCCACGGGCGACCAGACAACCCGACGGACAACCGAAAACAACCAAATCCAGACAGGGAAGGGCCCCCCCAAGGGCCGAGCGACCGAGAGCCAGCCCAGGGGCCAGGAGCGACCGAAACAACCGACAGACAACCGAAAACAACCAAAACCAGACAGGGAAGGGGCGCCCCAGGGGCCGAGCGATCGAGAGCCGCGCCTGGCCCCTCGGCTGCCTCATCGGTCTCTGCCGTCGGCCCAGCCACTCCTCGGCTGTTTTCGGTTGTTTTTGGTTATTTTCTGTTGCCCGTCGGCCCCGCCACTCCTTAGCTGTTTTTGCTGTTTTTCGTTGGTTTCTGTTGCCCGTCGGTGGCTCTGGTCGCGCCTGGCCCCTCGGCTGCCTGTTCGGTCGCTCTGCCCTCGGCCCAGCCACTCCTTGGTCGAGGGTCCGATCGACCCAGGGCAATTGCGTGCCGCTGAGACAGGGCCCGGAAGATTTTTAATCTATTTCTTGTAATTGTTGTTGATGTGTTTTTTTTGGGGGCGGCCTCGAACGCAATCTGCTTCTTCCGCCTTCCTACTTCTTGTTTTTTACCTACTTCTTCCGACCGACGTGTAGCACCCCGCAGAAGCGGATAAGAGTGGGGGGGCGGTGGGGACGTCGGCAGTCTGCGAGACTCTGGATAAGCCCGCCGCAGGCGCCAAAGTTTCAAATTATACCACGAGCCGCCCGCCGCAGGCGCCAATTTTTTCGTTAAACCAATGTGGGTAGGTCGCGGGTGGGTCGCAAATGGGTCGCGGCTGGGTCGCGGCTGGGTCGCGCAGATGGGTCATTGTTGGGTCGCGGGTGGGTCGCGGCGCGGGGTGGGTCGCGGGTGGGTCGCGGATGGGTCGCGGGGTGGGTCGCGGGTGGGTCGCTGGGTGGGTCGCGGGGTGGGTCGCGGTTGGGTCGCGGGGTGGGTCGCGGGTGGGTCGCGTGGTGTGTCGCGGGTGGGTCGCGGGGTGGGTCGCGGGTGAGTCGCGGGGTGGGTCGCGGGTGGGTCGCGGAGTGTGTCGCGGGTGGGTCGCGGGTGGGACGACGACAACAAACAAACAACGACAACGGAACAACGCAACAAGCAGAATTTTACTCTTCAGCCACGCACCCAGGGATAATGAATGACCGTTCGGCACCCTCACTCTGATATCCGTATCCGCGGCCTTGCGTGCTGGGCCCCTGGGCCGCGAGCATGCGGATACGTGCTGTTTTCTCGCGGATGCCCCTCGTGGAACGTATCTGTGCGACCTGTCCGCGGGATCGCGCCTTGGAATCCAGGCAGCGAGGGCGTGGTTTGTGGATACATTCGCCGTTCGTGAGGTTGCAGAAGGGCTTGCACTGGCGTTCCTAAACCATCTGCAATGAGTGACCACAACAATGGGCCAAATTGCTGCGGGAGATGGCGCGGCAAGGAACGCGACTTCTTATGAAAGCAGAACGTGGAGCATATGGCATGGGAAAGGGGAGGACGGAAAGACAACGATGACCGTGAGCGGGAATGAGGGGAGAGAAAAGTGAATGCATGAGTGAACATAGAGGAAGCCCGGAGAGTGGGAGTCGAGAGCAGAGAGGCGGGAGCTTGAAGGCGACTTGAAGGCGATCGGATGATGATTCTACGTAACATGCATAGATACGTATGTAAAATGGGCAATTGCGGAAGTCGCGAAGTCCGCAGCCCCATAGGACGGCGATGTCGAATTCTGATCCGCGTGAGACACCACTCCGCTGGGCCCCCTGGAGGCCTACGAAAGTGACGAAAGTTGCACAGTTCGCAGCCCCCAGGGGCGGCGTGGGCTCATTGAGGTCCGGGTCTGACGTCACTCCGCCTGACCTCCAAGGCGCTCGCGATAGTGGCGACGGTTGCGCAGCTGCACAGGGTGGCAAGGTCTAAGTTGGGCCTGCGTAAGGCACCACCCCGCTGGACCTGCCAGAAGAGGCGCAGAAGCATGGGACTGGCCCTCTCCCGCCCTCGCATTTGGACGTTCATCGGTCCTTCCCGCCATCAGGGCGACCCCCTTGGGCGCCCACTCGACCAGAGAGGGGATGCAAAGAGGCAAAGGGAAGTGGCGATCCTTCCTCTGCTCGTGCCGCGGCCCAACTCCCTCCTCTCGGCAGACTGCTGGGAGGCTCTTTCGACGACAGCGACTTTTCCAGCTTCGACATGTGCTGCGTCTGCGGTGCGGGCCCAGTCGGGGAGAGGGAGGGCGCGCTCATCCGCGGTAGCACTCTCGTGAAAGGAGGCATCATGTCGCGATCAGTCCTCTAGAGCACGGGCTTATGAAATGGTAATCATGTGTCGGTCAGTGGCCAGGGTGTACATCATGCAAGAAGTGAGAGCATTCTCATGGCATCAGGGGACAATCAAACAAGCATGTGCAGAGAGCCAGACTCACACCATCTGTATGCAGGGTGCAATAATGCATTCGGTTGATTAGTAATTCTCAGGTCATGGGAACCTAGAGGACACGTTGAGTCAGTCAGTTCACGGATTGAGAGTCATCGAAGGAAGGCTTTCAGAACACCCTCAAGGGGTGGAGGCGGTGGCACAGAAGCCAGTCCCGAAGATGAACAAAATGCTGAAGCTGGCAAGGCGGGCCCCGTTTTTACGCCAGCCAGCAAGTAGAGAACCAGGATCATGTTGAAGCTTGATTGCGGCCGCTCTAGGTATTGCCTGCTGGCGCCCACTTCTTGCACTTTGCGGGAGCAAGGTCGCTTGGCCACGGCCGGACGCTTCGAGCAAGCAGGGTGCACAACGGCATAGCATGTCATCCACAATGGCCGATCTGCTTTCGATATTCTGGCGAGCCGGTGCGGCCCGACGTTCGCGTGACGCCGTTGTGCATTCTGGCGCGGCCGGCCCGATTCGATTCCGACTGCGTGCCGATGCGGCCCGATCTGATGCACAGTGCGACCCGATCCAGTATCCCGACTCGAGGCTGACTGTTCTTGCCCCGCCGCGGCTCCAGGGCCCCCGAGGAGGAGGAGGAGGAGGAGGAGGAGGAGGAGGAGGAGGAGGAGGAGGAGGAGGAGGAGAGGGAGGAGGAGGGAGAAAGATGAGGAGAAAGATGAGAGAGGAGGAGGAGGAGGAGGAGGAGGAGGAGGAGGAGGGAGAGGAGGAGGAGAGGAGAGGAGGAGAGGGGAGGAGGAGAAAGATGATGAGGATGAGGATGATGATGATGATGATGATGATGATGATGATGATGATGATGATGATGATGATGATGATGATGATGATGATGATGATGATGATGATGATGATGATGATGATGATGATGATGATGATGAGGAGGAGGAGGAGGAGGAGGAGGAGGAGGAAGAGGAGGAGGAGAAAGATGAGGAGGAGGAGGAGGAGAAAGATGAGGAGGAGGAGGAGGAGGAGGAGGAGGAGGAGGAGGAGGCTTCGCCGAGCCCGCGCAGACACGGGGCGCTCTGCCCCCGCCCCAAACCTCTGGGGGCCAGCCTTGGGGCCTCTGGAGGCCAGCCTCGGGCCTCTCGGGGCCGGCCTGCCGGCTGTGCGGGCAGGCCGTGTGGGTAGCCTCTCGAGCCTCCCGAGGCCAGCCGTGGGCCCCATCGAGGCCAGCATGCGATGGGCTGTGCTGGCAGCCGGGGGCCTCTCGGGGCCCGCCTCGGGCCCCCCGTGGGCAGTCGAGCAGCGGCACGGGGCCGAGAGGCCGAGGCCCCGAGGAGGGCCTCGAGGGCTCCAGGAAGGGCGCATCGAGCAGGTCCTCCCAGGCAGCCGGCGGCGAGGCGGCCGGTGCTTCGCCACGTTCGGCCTCTGCGTGCCAGTCTCGGGCCTCGTCCTCCTCCTCGTCCTCCCCCTCGCCATCCCCCTTCCTCATTTCTCCTCCTCCTCCTCCTCGTCCTTCCTCCTTCCTCCTCCTCATCGTCCTTCCTCCTCCTTCCTCCTCCTCGTCCTCCTCGTCCTTCCTCCTCGTCCTCCTCCTCCTCCTCCTCCTCCTCTTCCTCCTCCTCCTCCTCCTCCTCCTCCTCCTCGTGAGGCCGTTCTGGCACCGACTCCGTGACACATGCATTTGCCTCGCGGCCCTCGTCCAGGGACTTCAGGCCTCGGGCCTGACAGGCGGCGGGAGGCTGTGTGCTCTCTGCAGCCGGAATTTTTGAGACGGGCGGTGATTTGCGGAAGCACAATGTTTCGGGCCCCGGGATCGTCAAACGACGGCTCAGGAGGACAGGATCGAGCCGCCGAATGTCTGGGGGTGACACCCCGGAGGTCTCGGAACCCACCTGGGGCGCTCCAGAACGGGCCTCTCCTTCGAGGCATCGAGATGTTGAGTCTCTCCTCTTTTGGGAGATTCGAGCCCTTAATCCCCACAACGCAGTGAAGGCCTAGCCTAAGTTAGGTTCCAGATCTTGCGTTGGGGATAAGGAATACGAATGGTTTTGTTGGTTCAGCTACAAAGAAGACCCTCTATCCCTAATGTCTTGGGCCTTCTAACTTAGGCCCTCTCTCAAAGGCTTAGGGGTCCTTTCACTGCGAATCATATTCCTCGGCCAAAGCTGGTGGAAGCAAAGCGGGGGGCGGCTCCGCAGAAGCCAGCGGAAGATCACAGCTGGCATGCAATAACGCAGGTTGGGCTGAGTTTCAGGGCTCTGGAAAAGAGCTACCCGGTCCAGACACAGGTGCTCTGCGTTCCAAGTGTATCCCCCAGACACCCTCCCCAAGGACGCGCCCTTCTTCGACGACCACGGTGACACTGGGGTCTACATCAGAGCCCGCAGCTTGCTATGCAGCGCGGAGTTGATCGGTGACCGGTTCGTGGACAACAGGGAGGATTGCGAGGCCGATCTTTGGGAATGGCAGGTTGGGCCTGAGCGTCAGCAGGTATTGCACTGCTATCGTTATCTCAGTAGCGCGCTCAGGACTCGCAAAAGTTTACACGTTTACATGGTCCTGATCATGCGCAGGTTGCGAGGTCTTGAAGCGCCCTAGAGGCCAGTCTGGGCTTCTCGAAATTCTCGCGGGGCTTTATTGTGGCCGGTTAGGGACCTGGTGGACATCTTTTTAGACCCATTTTCGATTTGATTGGGGCCCTCTGGAGCCGTCTCGAGACTTTGAGGCCCACCTGAAGGAACAGAGGCAATAACATCACACATATTGAAAAGGCAATGGGCGTTTCAATGAGTCTGGCCTCTCATAAGATTCCGTGGGAGGCATCGAATCCATCGTCGAGAAATGATGGGGAACCCCCCCCCCCCCCCCTTCCGGCGAAAGGATAACGCACCCGGCACCCGGAAGCGTTATCCTGGCACCAGGAGGGGGTGCACCAGATCGCACGGGTCCCACGGAGTCCCGCAGGTCTCGCAGGTCCCACAAGTTTCAAAGTGGTTCCCGACGGGTCTCGCAGGGGGGGGGGCTTCTTAATCGCTTCCAATCCCTCAGGACCACATGAAACCATTCCCTCCTCCTGTCTCTCCTCCCTCCTCCCCCCACCTCCTCCCTCCTCCCCCCCTCGCGTGGCACTGTCTCAACACCATAGGGGGTGCGTAGGAGGTGGTCTCTCACCGCGGTCTCTATACGTCCCAGTCGTCCAAGCATAGCAGGCGTGGCACTTTCTCGACACCATAGGGGGTGCACAAAGGGGTGGTCTCTCGCTGCGGTACACACACACTGAGGACGAGAACGAGGGCGAGGACGAGCACGAGGACGAGGACGAGGGCGAGGACGAGGACGAGGACAAGGACGAGGACGACGACGACGACGACGACGACGACGACGACGACGACGACGGCGAGGGCGACGGGGACGGGGACGGCGACGGCGACGGCGGCGGCGGCGACGGCTGCGGCGACGGCGACGGCGACGGCGACGCAGCACCTTCGGCTCAGGCTTCAGGCTTCAGGCTGCAGCCTTCAGGCTTCCTCCAGGCTTCCGGCTTCAGGCTTCAGGCTTCAGCCTGCAGCCGTCAGATGCAGATGGTGCAGGGCTTCGTCAGCGCCCTCGCCGTCGCCGCGGTCGCCGCGGTCGCCGCGGCCCCGCTGGTCCACCTCCTCCTCCTCCTCCTCCTCCTCGTTCTCTTCCATCTCCGTAGCTCAGGTCAGCGAGCAGCTTGTGGTCAGCGTGCTCGGTCTGGCAGTCCTCTTCGTCCTCGGCGCCATCTTGTGGAAGATGAGCGTGGTTTCAGAGAACCTCGACGGCATGTACTACATCGTCGATGGGGTATCTCAGCGCTGCGCGTTCATCGAGCGGCGCCTCATGGGCTTGGAATTCAGCCCATTCGAATGCTGCCGTCAGGTCATCTCGGCAATTGTCGAGTGGGACTTGAATCAGGATGCGGCGTACGGCAGTCGTCAAGCCTTTCAGCAACTCAGCCGCTACTCGCGCAACCTCTACCAGCGCACTCGCACCGTGCCTTCAGCGGCGCTCCTCAGCATCATCGTCAACGAAGCAATGACTGAGTCCGGTGAGGCCTCAGACGGCGTGAAGATCACGACGTTGAAGGCGGACTTCCGCAATCAGTGGGGTCAGCATCTTCACGGTCAGCAGTACGACGAGACAGCGAGCAAGGAGAACCGCATGGGTCAGTTGACGCCTCAGGAGATCGTGGACCTGTACGGCTTTTATTAGGCCGTTCCTCAGGACTGAGGGCTGGGAGCCAGGACTGCGGAGTAGGGAGCCCTCTCCTCCCCCCCCCTCTCCTCCTCCGTGCAATTCCTTGTCCTTTCCTATTCTGAGCCTTTCTTTAGTTTTCCTCAGCTCTTTTTTCAGCTTTTCCTTTGCTTTTCTCAGCTTTTCCTTAGCTTTTCTCAGCGTTTCCTTAGCTTTTCCTTAGCTTCCCCTTAGCTTTTCTCAGCTTTTTCCTAAGCTTTTCTCAGCTTTTCCTGAGCTTTTCTTTAGCTTTTCTGCGTTTTTTTTTTTTTTTTTTTTTGAAAAAAAAAAAAATTAGCCTGACGAGGGACCCAACCATATGCAGGTGCGAGTACCGCAATAGTGATTCATTTTTTCGGTGGCGATCCCTATGAGGCAACGAACCGTGCTAGGGGCGTGCCGACATGAGTGGCGTGGTACACAAAGTGAACGAAAACGATTGATCTGAGTACGTAGGGAGACTGAGCGCGGGTGAATCTGCGCGCGTGCGTCTGACTGTGAATGATCTGCGTGCGAGCGAGTCTACGTGCATGAATGCGAATATGACAAAGCGTGGTGCAAATGTGTATGAATGCCAATAGTTTGACAACGACTGCCTCTGAATACTCGTGACGCTGGGCGTGGCCGCCGCAAGGAGCTTCCCCGGGACTCCCCGACGGCATCGCCCGCGCGCCGCGACGCCAATGTCGGCGCGCCCCCCCGCGAGGATCGCGCCCGCTTCCTCCCCTTCCTTTACTCCCTCTTTGCCCGCGCACTCAAAAGTCCAAGGCTGCGGGAGCAGCGCAGCGCGGAGCCCCCGCGACGCGCGCAGGTCACCCCGGAGGGGTCCCAGCGACGCGCGCGGGTCGTCCACTGCGCGGAGCGAAGAGAGCTAGCTGGCTGGCTGATAGCGGGCAAGGCTCTTGCCGCTGGGCAGAGCGACGACGGGCGAGCGAGGCGCTGGGCGGAACGCAGCACGGAGCCCCCGCGACGCGCGCAGGTCGCCCCGGAGGAGTCCCAGCGACGCGCGCGGGTCGCCCGCTGCGCGGAGCAAAGAGAGCTAGCTGGCTGGCTGGGACCTGCGGTGGGGCTCCATATGGGGCCACGTAACGCTGTACTGGGCAAAGGAGACGCATGTGGACTGCGCCACGGGGACCTTCGGTGGAGCTCCCTATGGGGCCACGAAACGTGTGAGGGATGTGCCGGAATGGGTGTGCGGGACGCATGCGGGCACACCCACTGAGACCTTCGGTGGAGCTCCCTATGGGGCCACGAAACGTGTGAGGGGTGGGCCGAAATGTGTGTGCGGGACGCATGCGGGCACACCCACTGGGACCTTCGGTGGAGCCCCCTATGGGGCCACGAAACGTGTGAGGGGTGTGCCGAAATGGGTGTGCGGGACGCATGCGGGCACACCCACTGGGACCTTCGGTGGAGCTCCCTATGGGGCCACGAAACGTGAGAGTACGGGTGGGTGTGCGGGGCCACGAAACATGTGGGTGTGCGGGACGCATGCCACACCCACTGGGACGGTGGAGCCCTGCTGGGGGTGGAGCTCCCTATGGGGCCACGAAACGTGTGAGGGGTGTGCCAAAATGGGTGTGCGGGACGCATGCGGGCACACCCACTGGGACCTTCGGTGGAGCTCCCTATGGGGCCACGAAACGTGTGAGGGGTGTGCCGAAATGGGTGTGCGGGACGCATGCGGGCACACCCACTGGGACCTTCGGTGGAGCTCCCTATGGGGCCACGAAACGTGTGAGGGGTGTGCCGAAATGGGTGTGCGGGACGCATGCGGGCACACCCACTGGGACCTTCGGTGGAGCTCCCTATGGGGCCACGAAACGTGTGAGGGGTGTGCCGAAATGGGTGTGCGGGACGCATGCGGGCACACCCACTGGGACCTTCGGTGGAGCTCCCTATGGGGCCACGAAACGTGTGAGGGGTGTGCCGAAATGGGTGTGCGGGACGCCATGAATGGGTGTGCCGAAATGGGTGTGCATGCGGGCACACCCACTGGGACCTTCGGTGGAGCTCCCTATGGGGCCACGAAACGTGTGAGGGGTGTGCCGAAATGAGTGTGCGGGACGCATGCGGGCACACGCACTGGGACCTTCGGTGGAGCTCCCTATGGGGTCACGAAACGTGTGAGGGGTGTGCCGACATGGGTGGTGATAATGATGATGACGACAGATGATGATGACGATGACGATGATGGGGATGATGACGATGATGATGAAGATGGGAGGAGGGAGGGGGCAGCGGGAAGGTCTCTTCAAAACGAGGACCCAACACCACAGGATGGTTTTTTCTAAACTTTCCTGAGCTTTTCTTAGCTTTTCCTTAGTTTTTCTCAGCTTGTCCTTAGCTTTTCCTTAGCTTTCCCTTTTCTCAGCTTTTCCTTAGCTTTTCTTAGCTTGTCCTTAGCTTTTCTTAGCTTTTCCTTAGCTTTTCTCAGCTTTTCCTTAGCTTTTCCTTAGCTTTTCCTGAGCTTTTCTCAGCTTTTCCTTAGCTGTCCTCAGCTTTTCCTTAGCTTTATTCAGCTCTTCCCTACCTTTTTCTAAGCTTTTCCTTAGCTTTTCCTGAGCTTTTCTTAGCTTTTCCTAAGCTTTTCTTAGCTTTTCTTTAGCTTTTCTAAGCTTTTCCTTAGCTTTTCTCAGCTTTTCATCAGCTTTTCTCAGCTTTTCCTTCGCTGTCCTCAGCTATTCCTTACCTTTATTCAGCTCTCCCCTACCTTTTCCTTAGCTTTTCCGTAGCTTTTCCTTAGCTTTTCCTAAGCATTTCTTAGCTTTTCCTTAGCTTTTCTCAGCTTTTCCTTAGCTTTTTCTCAGCTTTTCCTTAGCTTTGTTCAGCTCTTCCTTATTTTTTCTCATTTTTCCTTACCTTTTCCTTAGCCTTTCCTAAGCTTTTCCTTAGCTTTTCCTGAGCTTTTCTCAGTTTTTCCTTAGCTTTTCTCAGCTTTTCCTCAGCTTTTCCTCGGGGAAGGGGACGGCAGGGAGGGGGGGGCGAGCTTAGCCTGTCAGGCAGATGGTGTTAGCCTGTTAGCCTGTCTCCCCGCCTTCAGTTCCAGCGCGGCTCCAATTTTTTCAGGGGGCTTTCAGTGCTCGCGTTTTGAACGAGACCGCTCCCTTCAGCGCCAGGGCTTTCAGCGCCGGGGCGTCACGTCGACGCCAGGGCTGTCAGCGCTCGCTGACGCTTTAAGAGATCAGGCGCCG